GTAAACGTTAACAGTGCTGTATTTACTTACATCCCTTACAAATTAACCTTTGTGAACGACTGTGTTAATAATTTCAAGTAACAGTGGACCTAATTGGTTCCAACATTTTAAATAGACCTCAGGAGGAATACCGTCACAACCAGGTGATTTGCCTTTATTCATGTTATCCAATGCCCCTTTGAGTTCATGGAGAGAGGTTTGGGCTCTCAGCAAGCCGGCTTCCTCAGTTGAGAGAAGAGCAGTCCTTTTATCTTTTAAAAAGGACTTGATCTGGCTTGGTGTGGATTTACAATCAGAGGTGTAAAATTCTTTATAGAAACGGGAGAATCTTTGGTTTATTACCTGATTCAGATTCGTTGCAATATCCACTAATTGATCATTACAGCAAAGCTTGTTGGCCAGTAGATGACTGGGTCAATTACCATGGAAGTAATGGTTGAGTCCAACTCGATGGATGGCAAATTCTGCTCTCTGTCTTATTAATAGATTTTGTTCTATCTTGACTTTGAAGAGAGTGGTCGCTACCTGGTCTGAAAAAAGTGTTTGATGGGAACGCTCTAACGTCGTTAACAACTTTTCCAATTCTGATATCTTCTTTAATTGTGATTTATTCAGCCCAGATGCAAATGCAGTTGCAATGTTTTTAATAAAACCTTTGATGGCGTCATCGACAGAACATTTGTTAATCATTATGAATTCACTCAATTCAGTTTCAAATTGTTCACATAAAGTAGGATTTTGTAGTAAGGAAACATTAAAGAGCCATCTTGTGGATATTGATATTCAGACATTTGTATCTGGCAGTAATAAGCATGATGATCAGATAGACTCATATGTCGAAGGAGTAGATAATAGTACAAAATCGATTTAGGATAATGTTTTGTGCCTGTTTGAATAGAAAGTGTACTCTTTAGCTTTAGGGTTATGAGCTCGCCAAGCATCAATGATATGAAGAGTGTTTGATCCAATATTATAAAGATTGTAAATTGTATGAGAGAGCGAGGAAAGCCATGTGTTCGTAGTATCACGAGTGAGTACTAGAAGGTCAGTGTGCCAAGATAAATTGGGGGGCCACTGGTGCTAATCTTAGGAATGGTGCGTGATGAAATGTCATGACTAGTGTGCCACACGAAACCAAGGAAAAGAATGATATGGGCGTAGTTGAGTGACAACTCAATTATGGTTAGCAACTGGATAAGACAAAAGTAGACTGGAAGAGCACTATATAGGCTGAGAGAGAGTCTATGTAATTCAGTCACATGATAAGAGGCAAAGCACATTCGTCTTATTATGTGATCCAGTACTGAATAAATGTAGAGTCAAACTTCCATCTGAGTGTCTCCTGCTTTCTCTTACATCCTGCACTTCTTCATACCAGAAACTCATCATACAATCAATGAAGTTATAATCAGAGAGAATATGTTGGAGTCTTGGTTGCCTGTAGATTGTAGTTGGTCTTATTAGATTTGTCCTGCATGTCCAGAATGGCATTCATGTCTGTCCCAATAACCAGTTGGAATTCATTTAATTCTAACAATATGCTGTCCAGAGAATCAAAAAACGTAGGATCATATACATTTGGAGCATACACATTAATAAAGGCAATTTTCTTTCCATTATGGATACATTTAAGGAAAGTGATTCTGCCTTCTTGGTCTTTGCCTTTACCAAGGATGGTGATTTTGAGTTTCTTATGTATCATTATGATTACACCCTTAGTTTTGTTTGGGGCTGATGAAAAATCTGCCAGTTTGTACAAATGCTTCTCTATTCTATGTGTGTCCTTTATATTAATATGGTTTCTTGCTAGAATATCTAGACAGCTGGAACGCTTGATAGGAATATTAAGGGCTTTCAAATTCCACGAGAGAATAGCTAGAGTTGCCATTGTTTTTCTAAAATTTAATTGTTATCTTTTGTGTTGATAAGCCCAAGGATGTAAAATAGAAAGCAGGACCCACAGCGAAACCCACCCATTGGTCACTCCCCATCCAATAGACCCTCTCTATAAATTGTTCCCCTTTCCCCCCACTTCCCTGCTAATAGGAGGATAGCTGTAGGATCGATACAGTGGGGAAAAAAAGCATTTAGTCAGCCACCAATTGTGCAAGTTCTTCCACGTAAAAAGATGAGAGAGGCCCGTAATTTTCATCATAGGTACACGTCAACTATGACAGACAAAATGAGAGAAAACATTTCCAGAAAATCACATTGTAGGATTTTTAATGAATTTATTTGCAAATTATGGTGGAAAATAAGTATTTGGTCAATAACAAACGTTTCTCAATACTTTGTTATATACCCTTTGTTGGCAATGACACAGGTCAAACGTTTTCTGTAAGTCTTCACAAGGTTTTCACACACTGTTGCTGGTATTTTGGCCCATTTCTCCATGCAGATCTCCTCTAGAGCAGTGATGTTTTGGGGCTGTCGCTGGGCAACACGGACTTTCAACTCCCTCCAAAGATTTTCTATGGGGTTGAGATCTGGAGACTGGCTAGGCCGCTCCAGGACCTTGAAATGCTTCTTATGAAGCCACTCCTTCGTTGCCCGGGCGGTGTGTTTGGGATCATTGTCATGCTGAAAGACCCAGCCACGTTTCATCTTCAATGCCCTTGCTGATGGAAGGAGGTTTTCACTCAAAATCTCACGATACATGGCCCCATTCATTCTTTCCTTTACACGGATCAGTCGTCCTGGTCCCTTTGCAGAAAAACAGCTCCAAAGCATGATGTTTCCACCCCCATGCTTCACAGTAGGTATGGTGTTCTTTGGATGCAACTCAGCATTCTTTGTCCTCCAAACACGACGAGTTGAGTTTTTACCAAAAAGTTCTATTTTGGTTTCATCTGACCATATGACATTCTCCCAATCCTCTTCTGGATCATCCAAATGCACTCTAGCAAACTTCAGACGGGCCTGGACATGTACTGGCTTAAGCAGGGGGACACGTCTGGCACTGCAGGATTTGAGTCCCTGGCGGCGTAGTGTGTTACTGATGGTAGGCTTTGTTACTTTGGTCCCAGCTCTCTGCAGGTCATTCACTAGGTCCCCCCCGTGTGGTTCTGGGATTTTTGCTCACCGTTCTTGTGATCATTTTGACCCCACGGGGTGAGATCTTGCGTGGAGCCCCAGATCGAGGGAGATTATCAGTGGTCTTGTATGTCTTCCATTTCCTAATAATTGCTCCCACAGTTGATTTCTGAAAACCAAGCTGATTACCTATTGCAGATTCAGTCTTCCCAGCCTGGTGCAGGTCTACAATTTTGTTTCTGGTGTCCTTTGACAGCTCTTTGGTCTTGGCCATAGTGGAGTTTGGAGTGTGACTGTTTGAGGTTGTGGACAGGTGTCTTTTATACTGATAACAAGTTCAAACAGGTGCCATTAATACAGGTAACGAGTGGAGGACAGAGGAGCCTCTTAAAGAAGAAGTTACAGGTCTGTGAGAGCCAGAAATCTTGCTTGTTTGTAGGTGACCAAATACTTATTTTCCACCATAATTTGCAAATATATTCATTAAAAATCATACAATGTGATTTTCTGGAAAAAAAATTCTCAATTTGTCTGTCATAGTTGACGTGTACCTATGATGAAAATTACAGGCCTCTCTCATCTTTTTAAGTGGGAGAACTTGCACAATTGGTGGCTGACTAAATACTTTTTTTCCCCACTGTATATCATCCATTGTTCATTAATTGGCATGTTATCATCACTGTGTAAATGTCCTGGACCATAGGCAATATAATTATAACAAGTTCAATGCTCAGCAATAATAGTAATATTGCTCCTTGTACCCAAACATGAGGGGTGTCCTCAATGTCTTATGCTGAGGGCAGCATCATAGCCATAGGCTATTGATAGCATTCCTGAATAATGAGCCAGTTATGGGGTTCCATCTGTCAGCTTGTCCCCTTGTGTGTTGGGTTTGATGTGCTTCTCGAAGTCTTGAGCTTCCTTGGCAGAGGAAAACGTGTGTGTTGTGTTCTGGAAGGTCAAGATGAGTTTTTACGGGTGGATGAAGCCGCATCTCAGGTTTAGCTTGCTTAGCTGGGATCTCACCTCGTTGTAGGTCTCCTTCTGTTTTAGCAGTTTGGCACTCAGGTCTAGGTAGATGCTGATCCTCTTCCCTGCATAGGTCAGACCCCCGGATTCCACTGCAAGGTGAACAATTCGCTACTTGACTTCAAAGCTTTGGATCCGTACATTCCTCCAGCGAGAGCCGTTGCGGAGTTGACCCGTGTGGTGTGCAATGTTAATCAGCAGAATGGGACCCAGCTTCTCCTGCCCAAACAGTTCATAGAAAAGATTGCTCATGAAGGAAGTTGGGTTGCCCGCTTCCACACCAGTTTCAAGTCCTATGACCCACACATTGAATTTACGGGAATGAGTTGAGTGATTCCGTTTGATCTTTTAAGAGTTTGATTATCCCTTCCAACTTAGCGCGTGCTGTTTCCAGGTCATGGAGTCACACCTCTGTCGCATTGGCTGTCTTCTCCAGACTTTCCACTTTAGTTGAATAGGTATCCATTTTAGCAGTGAGCACTGCCAATTATTCATTTACCGGTTTTAATTGTAAATCAAGGGCAGAGGTAATCTCCTCATGAACAATCTCTTGTATAGTAGCGGCCAGCTCCTTCTGTTGTCTGGTGTTGAGAGCCGCCATGTTCCCACAGTAGCAGCTGGAGTGTAATAGACCAGCTAATTATTTCTTGACACACAATGAATGTCCCACACCTTAATATTAAGGTTCGGTGTTGACACGTTTTAGGAAATAAGTCTGTTAATTCAGAGTAATTTGCAAAAGAAAGCTACAAAAAATGCCACACGTTTCAATGTATGCCACCGGAACCAGAACTCACCATTACCTTATTTCTCATATTTGTATCTTATAACTTTTTTTACAATGAGCCACAGGCAAAGTATATAAGTATAGCAAAATTAAGCTGCTCCAGAGCAAGTTGAATTGTGTCCAAATTGAAGCATATAACATGTCACTCTACCTTGATTTGCACAGCAAGGCGGTTGTTGTCTGCCTCTTTGCTGCGCAACTGGCTCTGCAAATGGGCCCGAGTAGACTCCAGTACTTTAGACAGCTCGCCTGTGGTCTTAGCATTCTCCTGGAACAACAACAGAAAGCAAATCAATTCAAATAATTCTATATTTGTTGAACACGCTGTTAGTGTGTGGGATGTAGCCTAAAACTACTGCAACTATACTTCACCTTCTCAGTGTCCATAAGTGTAGTCAGTTGATTAACCTCCCTCTCTTTCTCTTGAAGTTTCAAAACAAGATTCTGTGTGAGGAATGATACAGAAATGTAGGTCAGTACAACCTTCTTCTATTCATCAGCCGTCCAATAAGCACAAACCATTTTGAAGAGGACATTTTGGGGATTCATGATTCACAGAATATTTTGCTGACTGACAGTGGCTTATTTAAAGAAACACACCGAGTTTTCTGCCTCTGTGTCCGTCAGCCTCTTCAGAAGTACATCTTTCTGCTCTGACATCCTCATGGATTCCATCTGTTTAAAAATAAAAAAAACTGCCACCACCACCACAACAGGTAAAAGTGCAGCTATAAGAGGCTCTTATTTCAGGCCACAACATGATAAGATTGTGAGTTCTAATTGGCTTGCTGACTCATCCTGCTTCCGAACGTCCATGGTTATTCATCATGTCAGCATTTTCACCATCCTGGAAGTTGTTGAAACTTAGGGGTTCAAGTAGGGTTAGGGTTCAGGATAAGGAAAGTCGCTTACTTTGCGAATCAAGGCCGGTGTTATGGATAAAAGTGAATTGCTCTACTCTGCTTTATGTTAGTCTGCCCTCTACTGGCATGGAGGGTGAACCTGTACCTCACGTCCATGCTGTTCCCTCAGTAGGTGGCGGAGAGTGCGGTTGGTGGACTCAAATGTTTCCAGTTTCTGGAGCAGCAGCTCCTTCTGACGCGCCAGGAGAGAAGACTCAGACCCCGACATCCTCTTTTCCAACCAAAATAAAGCATTTCATATATCAACACCTACTGTATATCCTTGAGGTTACACCTACCATATGCATTTTGAAATATATTGGTATCTTTGCATGGTTGGGGTCAATTCCATTTCAATTCAGTCAACTCAGGAAGTTCATTGATATTATCTCTGGAAATAACAAATGGTCTGTGAATTGGCATTTGAATGGTATTGACCCCCAACCCTGTCGCTGCCGACACTCACACTGGTGCTGGAGCTCCTCATCTTGGTGATGGTCTCTCTCAGGGCTGACACCTGCCTGGCAGCGGCCGTCCCGTCCATCTCTGCCTCCATCAGCTTCTTGAGCAGAGTGTCCTTCTCCAGCTGCATCGACTCCATAGACCTCTCCAGTCTGGACAGGGGGGTTATGGCAGACGCAACAGGAGAGAGGCAAAGGGATGGAAGATTTTGAATAAGGGGCACAAGATAAATAATGTTTTATAGTTTCACGTTTATTTAGCACCGCTGTATATTATTAAGTAGGACAATTATATTATTTAGCATGAGTCACTGGGGGCTTAATTTGCAACTTCTGACAATAATCAGATTTGATGAAAAACGACCAAATAGGCCATAGTGTGACAGCCTGCTAGGACTGTTGATGGGTTAAAGGCATCTGAGAATCAAGGCTCATTACAGTCATGAGAAGTTTTACTGGAGTCTGGCCTAGTGCTAGCGCTGCAGACTCCTGACTACACTTACCTGCTGGCGACGGGGTTTGAATCCCACCTAAGCCTTTCCTTTCTGTCTGCCACTCTGTATCTGTCGCCCTATCTACTTTCTGACTAAGACTGTTCATAAAATGTATATTTTTTCAAATACAGGAAGTAAAAAAAAGTTATGAGAAGTTGAAGTTGGAACGTTAGGAAAACAAAGTAAATTAAATACAATTTGAATTAACTATGGCTTCAAGTGTGTCTGTCTGGGCCATACCTGCTGGTACAGTCTGTCTCCTCCAACATCTTCTCCATGGAGTGGCGCAGGCGGGAGTTTTCCCTCTCCGTGACCTCTAGCTCCTTGGCCACCTCGGCCAGCTCCTCCTCCTGCTCCTCGATGACCCGCCGGGAGGCGCTCAGCTTCTCCGACTGGCGCTCCAGCAGCTGCTCCTTCCTTCCGCAGCTCCACCTACACAGGCATGTACATACATACACACACGCACAAACACACACTTAGAAAATAAATCAATGTATCAATGGGTGAGGGACTAGGGGAACATGTGGAACCGGTCCTAAGGACAATTAAATGGGAGGGACAGACCTCACTCTTCAACGAGCTGACCTCAGTCATCAGGCTGTCAATCTTCCTCTCATACTGGTTGATTCGTCCATGCAGCACTTCCTCCTCCTCTGACGACAGGTCGGCCAATCGCAGGGGAGAGTGGGAGGTCTCGGGCTCAGGTAATGGTGTGATCTCCAGACAATGAGTCGGCCCCTAAGACATGGACAGGTTCAGTGACCACAGACTCTGGCTATATGTATTCTTCTGATCCATTTTATAGCATATTATAGAAAGTGTTGATAGGAAAGTCTTGATATGAGTGCTTTCATAAGATATTGCTTTAATAGGTGCAGTATGAATACATTGCATTAGTGGAAATGAGATAAAACAACAGATTAGATAAAAGGAGTGAATAGCATGTCAGACCTCCCATTTGTAAGAGGCATCCCGCACGGAGGCCTTCCCAGGCGGTATCCATGGCACCCGTGTCTTCACCTTTGCAGTAGGTCGCAGGTTCCCTCCATCACCCTTGGTCTTGCCCTGCAAAGCAGACAGCATGAAACTCACAAGGGAGACACATTTAGGCCTACATGTATTGCATTCATGTCCAGGTAAATCGAACAGTTTTCACACAAGCAGGGTATACAGTATTAGATAGCATAAGAGAACGGAGGATATATTCAGAGACCTTTGGAAACAGTGTAGAACGTATTCTCTGCTCTTTTTGTATCAGTTCAGCACCTAAGACACTGAATCAGAACTGCATTGATATGAAACTAGGACATTTAATTAACTGCTTCAAATGTGTTTTCCTGAAAAGGGTTTTCCCAACCTGTGGTGTCCTGGAAAGGCTACGGCTCTTCTTCACATGCACGTGTACAGGCGTAGTCTCATTCACATGCACATGTAGGGGCGGTGAGATTGACCGGGTCCTCATTGCTTTTTTCTGTAAAAGAGCAGTGAGTCAACTAGGCAAAGGCCACAATATAGGCTTCCCCCTTCTCCCTTTGCACACCTTCAAACAAACTCAACCAAAGTCATATCCAAGGGAGACTTTTTCAAAGGGAGACTGAATCATATGCACTGTTAGGAACAGAGTAAATGGTGCAAAGCAGGACTTGATAAGGGACAGATTCCCTGGTTCCTTCATCAAACACAAACATAGAAATGAAAGGGGGAGGAAGTGTGAACAAACAGGTTGGTTGACTGTCAGATGTGAACTGGCAGCTGATATGTAGTGATCATTCAAGTCAGTCCTTGTTTACAGTGTAGACAACGCATGGCTGGTGTATCATTTTACCTGGGTGATATACAATTACTAGATCAAGAGCGGACTGGCTGGTTCAATTTTAGCCTAGTGGGCCTGTCTAACTTGTTAATTTTTGTGCAAAATTATAATTATCTGGCTAACAGTGGGGGCTGGTGGGAAAATGGGCCTGTGTTGGGGCCTCGAGGAAAAAAATGGGCTGGTGTGTTAGAAATACCAGAGGCGATTTCTGGTCCCAGTCTGCCCCTGACTAGGATCATATGTCAGAGCAGTAGCAAAAAATACTTTTTGTGGATGAAGGCTTGGCAGGAGCATACCAGCCAGCAGCATACCATCCTGCATCCTACTGCTGGCTTGCATCTGAAGCTAAGCAGTGTTGGTCCTGGTCAGTCCCTGGATAGGAGACCAGATGCTACTGGGAGTGGTGTTGGAGGGCCAGTAGGAGGCACTCTTTCCTCTGGTCAAATAAAAAAATATCCTAATGCCCCAGTGCAGTGATTGGGGACATTGCCCTGTGTAAGGTGCAATCTTTCGGATTGGACGTTAAACAGGTGTCCTGACTCGCGGTGGTCATTAAAGATCCTATGGCACTTATTGTAGGGGTGTTAACCACAGTGTCCTGGTTAAATTCCCAATTTGGCCACCTAATCATCTCCAGGTTCCAATTGGCTCATTCCTATTCCCCAAGTCGTTGCTGTAAATGAGAATGTGTTCTTCTTTACCTTACCTGGTAAAATGAGTGTGGTGAACGGATAGCGGCGAGGAAGGAGAAGAGCAGAGGGAAGATGTGTGTTGAGGAAGAATGGCGCCAAGTACAAACCGTACTCTGATGGCTCAGAAATTGAACCTGACAAGCGTGAATTACGTGTGGTGAAGACCTCTGAGCCGTGCCCCTATGGTCCATGCAAAGGATGATTCTGGACCAGTGGGAGTGACATTTTTTATAGAAAGTGGGATCCCTGCCTTTTGGCTGACCCACATGTAGTCTCAGGCTGGGTAGAAAATAAGTTGGGTACTGTTAAATCGGTGAAGGTAGCTCGAAGTGGACTTGTGAGGATTTTCGGTGCTTCTTTCGCCCAGAGGGAGGGGGCGGAGCGCATCACGGGCCTCGGGACAAGTCCTGTGACTTGGTTTGCTCTCCGGGGCAGGGTGCCTTTGAAAGGAGTGATTAATGGGGTGGTGTTAAGCGTTGAGGTGGAGCAACTGAAATGTAAGATTCCCTATGTCTGTGACACCCTGCAGACCCGGTGGCGAGCGTGGTGAAACTGAGAAGACACTGTCTGTCCTTTTGAGTTTTGAAGCAAAGTCTTTATCTGACAAAGTCATGGTAGGATATGTCAGTTATCCCGTGAGAGCTTTTGTGCCGATCCACTAAGGTGTTTCAGATGCCAAACGTATGATCATGTTGCAGCAGTGTGTGGGAGGGAGATTCCAAGATGTGAGAAGTGTGTAGGAGGGCATGGGACAAAGGAATGTGTAGTATCGGTTGAAAAATCGGTGTTTCAATTGTGGGGGTGCCCATGTTACTGGGGATCAAAAGTGCCCGTTGCGAGAGATACAGGTTGAGGTTGCCAAGATCAGAGTAGAACAGAAGGTGTCGTATGCTGAGGCAGTGAAGAGAGTAGAGGATGATGGGTCAAGGCTGACTAGTAGGCCTAGGTCAATACAGAATGACGCTTATAAGAACTCCCACTACGCCCCCCGACGAACCATCAAACAGGCAAAGCGTCAATACAGGACTAAGATCAAATCCTATTACATCAGCTGTGACGCTCGTCGGATGTGGCAGGGCTTACCAACTATCATGGATTACAAAGGGAAACCCAGCCGCAAGCTGCCCAGTGACGCGAGACTACCAGACGAGCTAAATGCCTTCTGTGTTCGTTTCGAGGCAAGCAACACTGAATCATGCATGACAGCACTAGCTGTTCCGGACGACTGTGATCACGCTCGCCGTAGCCGATGTGAGTAAGGCCTTTAAACAGGTTAACATTCACAAGGCCGCAAGGCCAGACGGATTACCAGGACAAGTACTCAGAGCATGCTCTGACCAGCTGGCAAGAGTCTTCACTGACATTTTCAGCCTCTCCATGACCCAGTCTAATACCTACATGTTTCAAGCAGACCACCATAGTCCCTGTGCCCAAGAGCTCCAAGGTAACCTGTCTAAATTACTATGGCCCCGTAGCACTCACATCTATAGCCATGAAATGCTTTGAAATGGTCATGGCTCACATCAACACCATCATCCCAGACACCCTGGATCCACTCCAATTTGCATACCCCCCCAGCAGATCCACAGGTGACGCAATCTCTATTGCACTCCACACTGCCATTTCCCACCTAGACAAGAGGAACACCAGTTAGAATGCTGTTCATTGACTACAGCTCAGCGTTCAAAACTATAGTGTCCTCCAAGCTCATCACTAAGCTCAGGACCCTGGGACTAAACACCTCCCTCTGCAACTGGATCCTGGACTTCCTGACAGGCCGCCCCCAGGTGGTGAGGGTAGGCAACAACACATCCGCCACGCTAACCCTCAACATGGGGGCCCCTCAGGGATGCATGCTTAGTCCCCTCCTGTACTTCCTGTTCACTCACGACTGCTTGGCTGCACACGAGTCTAAAGGCATCAACATGCTTCAGTTCGGCTGGCGGCTAGCCGAAGTCGGCTAGGCGAACCGAACAAGTCTGCTCGCATACTCCCTTAAAAGACCTTCGCTTGAAAAACGAGAAAAAAAGCCAGCATACACTTCCTCAAAACAGTCCGAATTAATCTAAGATAACTCAAGAAATCTGTCATTAATTTTGCAGAGGAGATCTTAGTCGTGCAATTTTACCTCTAAGATGTTTGGTGCAGTATTTCTCAATGAAACAATTTGAATGAAAACAAGTTGTCTCTTGTTGAATGACAACAAAGACATTATTGAAGAATCCCTATTGTTGACCAAACCACAGACGAAAGGGCGTAGACTTCGGCTGTGCCCAAACAGCTGAAAAAACCCTCACCAAAGTCAAAAACGAACAAAACATTACAAAATGTCGTCATAATATATGCACAAACTCTTCCGAACTGTTTCGGCTGGGAAGCATGCAGACGCCTTAACACCATCATTAAGTTTGCTGACGACACAACAGATGTAGGCCTGATTGATGAGACAGCCTATAGGGAGGAGGTCAGAGACCTGGCAGTGTCGTGCCAGAACAACAACCTCTACCTCAACAAGACAAAGGAGCTGATTGTGGACTACAGGAAATGGTGGGCCGAGCACACCCCCCTCACATAGATGAGGCTGTAGTGGAGTGGGTCGAGAGCTTCAAGTTCCTCGGTGGACACATCACTAAGGATCTATTATGGTCCACACAAACCAACACAAGAGGCTGAAAGGATTTGGCATGGGCCCTTAGATCCTCAAAAAAGTTATACAGTTGCACCATTGAGAGCATCTTGGACTGGCTGCATCACCGTTTGGTATGGCAACTGCTTGGCATCCAACCGCTACAGAGGGTAGTGTGTGTACAGCCCAGTGCATCACTGGGACCGAGCTCCCTGCCATCTAGGACCTCTATACCAAGCGGTGTTAGAGGAAGGACCTAAAAATGGTCAAAGACTCCAGCCACCAAAGTCATAGACTGTTTTCTCTGCTACCACATGGCAAAGGGTACCGATGCACCAAGTCTGGAACCAACAGGACCCTGAACAGCTTCTACCCCCAAGCCATAAGACTGGGAAATAGTGAGTTACAGTGAGGGAAAAAAGTATTTGATCCCCTGCTGATTTTGTACGTTTGCCCACTGACAAAGACATGATCAGTCTATAATTTTAATGGTAGGTTTATTTGAACAGTGAGAGACAGAATAACAACAAAAAGATCCAGAAAAACGTATGTCAAAAATGTTATAAATTGATTTGCATTTTAATGAGGGAAATAAGTATTTGACCCCCTCTCAATCAGAAAGATTTCTGGCTCCCAGGTGTCTTTTATACAGGTAACGAGCTGAGATTAGGAGCACACTCTTAAAGGGAGTGCTCCTAATCTCAGCTTGTTACCTGTATAAAAGACACCTGTCCACAGAAGCAATCAATCAATCAGATTCCAAACTCTCCACCATGGCCAAGACCAAAGAGCTCTCCAAGGATATCAGGGACAAGATTGTAGACCTACACAAGGCTGGAATGGGCTACAAGACCATTGCCAAGCAGCTTGGTGAGAAGGTGAAAACAGTTGGTGCGATTATTCGCAAATGGAAGAAACACAAAATAACTGTCAA